AGGAATGTGTTAGGAACGAAATCGATGCTGTTATGCAAAAGCATGAAGGGAAAATTACTATGAAATCATTGCAACAGTTGTCATATTTGGAGAGATGTATAAAGGAAGGAATGCGCTTGTATCCCGTCGCATCTTTAATAGCACGCGATACTGCAGAAGACGTAAAATTACGTAAGCATTAAGTTAATCTTTTGTTGTACTTTTAAATTAAAATGAGAAAATGCCAACATGGTACAGAACTGATCTTAGTGCCTAATAATATTTTTATATGTGAATCTTAGAATTTTTAGTAAGCAAACTGCGCGTCACATCATCAATCTTTAGAAATGCAGCTCCAAACTGAATAGTACGTAATCTCACAATTAAATTGGAAAAAGCAATTTAATAGTTTTTTTGCTCTTTGAGCATCTTTTTAACAATAGAACCGTAGCGATTTGGGCTTCCCTTAAAACCGCGGATGGTTGGATGGCAATTATAACCGCATATTTAGTCCAAATTAAATTATATTAATAAAATTACTCCATTGTGATTTTTGGATTGATTTTAGGTAGGAGCATAGTTGTAATTAAATAATACATTTTTATCTATTCAGTTTATGTATGGATATAATTAACAATGTTACGCACACATAGTGAAATAAAAGCAGAAAGCGCGGTAACCGCGCGCAAATTTTTACATGATTATAAACATTATCGTATGAAGTATTCTCCCCCTCCCGTAAATGACAGAGGTATGGCGTTCAATTATCACAAATAGTGCCGTACACAGTTTGCCAGTGAAACAAGAACCGATGTAGACAAATAAATTTGTCAACATCGGTTAACAGATCAAACGATGGGTCTAAATTGACCCAATCGTGGTTTAAGGTAAATCTGGATTTTTACGAGGGAGGGTCACTACAAAAGAGAAATTATTATTAATTAATTGTAATTATGATCATTAATTATGGAAAGTTATAAAAATCTAAAGCTCCAGGTGCAAATTTAAAGTAATTAAAAGAAGAACAACTATCAGATGAGGTAAAAATGGCACAGCTGCAGTTTTGGTATTAAGTCCTGTAAAAATAATGTGTATTGCGAAAAGTAATTATCACAGCCAGAATTTTTTGTAATAAATTTTTATAGGATTTAAAGAGATGCTTAAAGAGAATTATTAAATTGCTTTGGAAATTTAATTGTAGTATTATGTACTATTTAGATTGAAGGTCATGTTTTTTCATCTTAGTTGTTTGAAACATTCCACGGTTGATTTAGATACTTAATTTTTTAATTTATTTTAATTTCAAATAAAATTATTCAATATCATCAAATTATAGCTAATGTGATCTATAAGATGTGAAGTCTTTCTTAAAGATTTTAATATTTCTGTTTATAATATTTATTTATATGATTTTCTAAAAAAACTTTATATACAAAGTTACGTATAATATATCTATTATTTTTTAAAAATGTTATGTAATAAATTTACATAACTGTTTCTTTTTATATTTTTATTAAGTACATGAACAATTGAATTAAATAGATGTTTAATTTTTAAATTGTAATAAAACTTTTAAGTTTATTTATAAATTTATATGCTTTGTAGAGTCATATGTAGTACCTGCTGGAACAACGGTGCAACTTTTTATTTACGGAGCTCAC